CAATTAGAACATTAGATGTGAGTATATACAACATTCATATTTTCAATTCTTTTCCACAGTGGAAAATATTTATCTAGATTAATGACGTTATTTTACACTTTTGCAAATATCATGTCTGCTAAAATAGCTGAGTCCTTCTATCTGCTGCTGTTGCAATGTCTGTGGGATATGGTTTCTGGAAAATTCTACTACACTAATGAAAAAATTAGAGTGAAAAGGGCATGTTGGTAATTATAAAAACAGTTTCGATCACTGAGACCACTGTAGGGAACTCGGGGGCCCCCAGGGTTCCCTGGGACACTTTCCCTATGTCTGATGGAAAATGAAGGGTAGCACGCTGATTTTCTAAATAATCAGATGGGAACCATGTAAGACTCTGTCATCAACCTCAGCTACTGGACTTTGCCCCAAAGCAAAATAGCAGCCATAGGGAATATAAATAAGTGAGGGTGTGGTCCGATAAAACTTTATTTGCAAAAACAAGTGGTGGCAGGAGTGTGCTGAATTTGGCCCAGAGGTCTTGTTTGCCAACTCCTGATCTAGAACTCCAAGTCGGGGTGGAAGAGATATCACAGCAGATAAGTAGCTTGCTTGCCTGTGGCTGACCTGAGTTCGAGCCTTAGCACCCAGGAGCCCTGCCAGGAGTGATTCCTGAGCTCAGAGCCAGGAGTAAGCCCTGAGCACTGCTAGATGTGGCCCCAAAACAACAACAAAAAAATTTTTTTTAAAGAAAATTAAACTTTGGGGGCTGGAGAGATAGCACAGCGAGTAGGGTGTTTGCCTTGCACGCAGCCGACCCAGGTTCGATTCCCAGCATCCCATATGGTCCCCTGAGCACCGTCAGGGATAATTCCTGAGTGCAGAGCCAGGAGTAACCCCTGTGCATTGCTGGGTGTGACCCAAAAAGAAAAAAAAAAAGAATATTAAACTTTCTAGGACCTTCGGTGTAGGACTTGTGCCAACTAAGGGAGGAGAAAATGCTACGTGCTTCATCGTCCTACCCATCCCCTTTCTGAAGGACTGAAAATGAAATTTCTCAGTGGAGATAGGTCTCTTCTTTTCTTTTCCTTTCTTTTCTTTTCTTTTTTTTTTTTTTGAGGGGGATTTTTGAAGACCACACCCAGCAGTGGGTAGGGGCTATTGGCTTTGAGATCAGAGTCACTCCTGGTGGTGTTGATGTCAGTGGGCCCTATGGTGAAGCCAGGAGGATAAAGACAGTCACTTTCTCCCCATCTGCCTCTGCCACCCGGGATCCAGGGTTACTGGGTTCTTGTCTGGACTCGCAGAAAGGAATTTCAGGAGTAGACAAGCAGTGAAGTAAATAGATTTTATTTGGAGGGTTTTTGAAGTCGGGGAGAGAGACAGAGAGAGAGAGAGAGTAACACACTCAAGAGAGAATGTGGGCTTCTCCAAGGGCAGAGAGAGCCCCTAGACACATCCCAGCATTAGACACATGAAAGCCTCAAAGTACACATCTCAAGATGGGAGATGCAGGTTACACATATGCTCAGGCACCATATGTGCTCGGCCACATGGGCGCAAGCAGCACATGGGTTCGGGCAGGATATGCACGTCCTTCTTTTGTTCAAGGTGGCTTTTATAGGCTCTTCTTGGGTTGTTCTTGTTCCGGAAGTTCTGGAGTCTTCTCAGGCTGAATCTCTAAAGTTAATCGGATTAAGGGCAAGGTCTGAGGGTTTGAGGAACTCAGGGGGGGAGGGGTCCAATTTCCTCAGGATCCGCTGCTGAAGGTCTTATCAGGTCTGTTTTCCGTATCTACAGGGTGGATCAGCCTTAGATAACTTCTGGGAGGAAGATTCTAAATTTCATTGCCGAGGGCTTTTCCCTTTCTATCTGCCTACATCAGTGCCAGGGATCAGAACGGAGTCTGCTGATGTGAGACCAGATCCTGACAACCCTGAATGGGCTGAAGAGCCCTCGGCCTCCTCTTTGGAATCCGCCCGCCCAATCCCTGTGTTTCTGCAGCTCACCTCTAAGCCAATACACGTCCAACTCAGGGAGAAGGGTCCTGACCGTCAGGCCCCTGGGATGGGGCAGTGCCCTGCATGACCCAGTGGGCCAGCCATCCTGTGAGTCCTAAGCCAGGCCATGTCCCCTGTCCTCCGCCCACTCTGTCCTTCCCTCCCTGTCCTGACTGATCAGGGTGCCAGGTGCACCTACTGGGGGAGGTGATCTCTGACCCCAGGCACTGCCCCGGGCACTGAGGAACCGGCACCTCGTAGAAAGAGTCCTGGGCAGCCTGAAGACCCACAACCATGGTTGGGTTCTTTCTGGGTTTGGTTTTGCTTTCTTGGGTTTGGAACCATATATACAAAAATGATGAGAATTTACTCCTGGCAGTGCTGGGGATTGAAATGGGGTCAACCATGGGGGCTGGAGCAATAGCACAGTGGGGAGGGCGTTTGCCTTGCATGTGGCCGACCCAGGTTCAATTCCCAGCACCCCATATGGTCCCCCGAGCACCGCCAGGAGTGATTCCTGAGTGCAGAGTAACCCCTGAGCATTGCCGGGTGTGACCCAAAAAGCAAAAAAAAAAAAAAAGACTAGGTTGGCCATGTGCAAGGCAGAGTCTTGATCCCTCTAATTACCTCTCAGGCTACTGCCCCTCCCGGCCCCTCTTCCTCGGCCCCCCATCCTCCCTCTGGCTCCTGGGGGGGCCTGATGATCTGAAGTTCCTCAGCGCAGGCTGGAGTCTAAGCAGGGCCGTGCGGGGTGAGGCCCAAACCAAAGTCTCCCCCGTTATCTGAAGATGCTCCATGCCTGGGGGCCCACGGCAGCTCCAACTGTCCCCAATGCCAGGTGAGATGGATTGAGGCCGTTGTCTCTTCCCTTCCTTCCCTCCTCCAGCTCCACCAGGAAGATCGCGTCTTTGATTTGAAGAACAGGCCTGTGGGGTTGGACTTATATGGTCTGGCGGGGAGGCAGCCAGGGCCCACCCCCACCTGCTCCCTGCCCCCGCCCAGAAGCCGCTCAGCGCCGGCCTCCCTGCCCCTCGCTGGAGCCCTGGGAGATTTACAAGTCCAGCCTTGGCCGGGCCCGGGCCCTCTCCCCATGGCTCCTGGCCACCGGCCAGCTGCTCTCCCACAACGTGACCAGACGTGAATCCCCCGCACTGCCTCCACCCCGAGAAGTCACAGAGTCACGGAGTTAGCCCCTTCCCTGTGGTGGTCTCCACTCCTTCCATCAGCCCAGGACTCAGAGCCCAGCCCGGCCTCCGCACTGCCACGTTCCTCACGACAACAACAGCGGCTTCCGCCTCCACCGACTCATCTGGGAGTCTCTGCGCAGCCCCTCTCCCGAGCCACCAGGATTGGCCAAGAAGGTGCATACTTCTCCGAGGTGCATACTTCTCTGGACTTTTTTGCTTTTTGGTCACACCTGGCTCTGCACTTAGGAATCACTCCTGGTGGTGCTCAGGAATCGAACCCGGGTCGGCTGGGTGCAAGGAAAACGCCCTACCCACTGTGCTATCGCTCCAGCCCCCTTAGGTGCTTGATATGAAGCTACATCTGATCTGGAAAGTTTTAGGTGTTTTTTTTATTTGTTTGGTGCCTTGCACGCGGCCAACCTGGGCCGACCCTGGTTCGATTTCTCCGCCCCCGGAGAGCCTGGCAAGCTACCAAGAGTATTGCTCCCGCATGGCAGAGGCTGGCAAGCTACCGGTGACGTATTTGGTATGCCAAACACAGTAACAACAAGTCTCACAATAGAGATGTGACTGGTGCCCACTCGAGCAAATCGATGACTTTTGGGAGGACAGTGCTGCACAGTGCTACTTTTACTCCTGGCTCTGTGCTCAGGGATCAATCCTGGTGGACTCGGGGAACCATTTGTGGTGACGGGGGTGAACCTGGGATGATTGTGTGGAAGGCAAACCTCCCACACTCTGTCCTATCACTTAGCGTACACACACACACACACACACACACACACACCAGAATGTTGTTTTCTTTCTTCTTTTTTTCTTTCATTTTGGTTTCTGGGCCATACTCAGCAGTGCTCAGGGGTTACTCCTGAGAGGCTCAGGGAACCATGGGGGGTGTGAGGGGTCGAACCCAGGCCAGATGCATGCAAGGCAAGCCTTCTCCCCGCTGTACTATCTCTCCAGCCCCCGGAGAGTTGTTCTCAACAGGTATAGACTCTGTGGTCGGACCTCGCGGTTTCTTCAAGGCCAGAGATAAATTCCACTGGAGCCGGCTCTGATTCCTGGCACCCCACGCAGCAGGAGGCTGTGCTGCTGGGGAGAGGCGGCCTGTCTCACTTGGAGACACGTATCAGAAGAGAACCCAGACCAGAAAGGCTTTACACCGAAGTCCTGCAAGGAGTCCCTGCCCAAAGCTGGTGTCCCTGTGCTCCCTAAAAGTTGAATTTCAGCGTGATGGAAGGAGAATCTGCCCCTGGAAAAGACTCACTGACTCCTCTAAGAGAGTTTTGAAGTGCCGGAGCCCACGGGAACTCTCAGACCTTACAGGATAAAAGTTACTCCGATAAGATTTCCCAATACCACCACTGGGACACTATAAACACCATTCAGGGGACCGGAAGAGTGCTGGGAAGCTTTATGAAGCCGATGGTAACTCAGAGCAGGGAAGGGGTGGGAGGGTCTGGGGTCCATAGAGAGAAAACTGTCACTGCTGGCCAGACAACGATGCAGACGGCTCTCTGAGTCTCCTGGCCTCTCCGACCTCTGGAAGGCCACCAGGATGAACAGTCCCTTCTTTAGCATCCCCCGAGTTGACCCCATAGCTCACATGTTTGCCCTCACAGGGGCCACAAGCCCTGCTGGCCCCAGAGTTCCTGCCAGCACCCAGAGAGCCCCTCCTGCTGGCCCTCAGGCCCCAAGCCCTCCTGCCCTCTGCAGATCCGCTGGCCGGGGCTCTGAGTCTTCACCGCACTCGCCCGGGCATTGCTGCCTGGGTCACATGTGGGGTGCTGGTCAGGTCTCAAAGCTTGAGTCCAAGGGGCCAGGGCCTGCGTGATGCTTATTCACCTCCAGGAGCTAGTGGGGGTGTACTGGCAGGGACCAGAGCGCCTGCCTCAACAGAGACTTGGGGACCCACCTTGGCCTCCTTTGTTCTCGGGCCCAAGGCAGTGGCTATGGTGGCGTCCAGGCCGCCCGCGTAGAGACGAGAGCGCATGGGCCATTTCTGCAAGACAGAACAGGGGCAGTGTGTTGAGTCCTCCCAGCTCGGCTCGCCAGGCACCACAGACTGGGCTCTGCCCAGCCTCCCCGTGGCTCCCCTGAAGGCAGCACCTCACCCCACTTAGGGCCCACACATCCCAGGCTGAGAGACGCCTGGGGAGCCCCCAATGGCGAGGGATGAGCTCAGTCACGTGGGAGAGCGGCAGAGCTGGGCTGAGAGACCCCCAGTCCCTCTGTTCCCAGCCCAGCCCCTGGCCCGAATATCAGCGCAACCCACTTCCTGTAAGCTGGGAGCTCTCATCAACCCAGTGTGGTCCAGAAGCAGAGACAGTCCCCGAAAATGCCAGGTGAACCCTCCCTGCCCTCTTCCAGGTGCCCCCCCCACCCCGAGCCCACAGGGGCACCTCGATACCACCATGTGCCAGGCTACCGGGCCCTCCCAGTTCCTGCATCATCATTTCTCCATCACCCTCTCCCGGCCCGGCCCCACCTCAGCCATCATGTGGCACCATTACGAGATGGGGTGCCCCCGGCCCAACCCAGGCAACCACAGACTCTCATGGCGGTAGTATCCGCAGGAAAGAACACCGGCTGAGTGGGCGCCGTTTCAGAGCCCAGGTGTTTTGAGATGGTGACTTGTGGGTCCGAGGCAGTGGGTGACAGATGGTCCTTCCTCCTCACAGGGGCCCTGGACCCCCGAACCCCCAGGCTGCCTGGGGGCACTGAAGCCCTCGGGCCAACGGCACTAGCCACTCAGTGTCCCTGAGCCTCAGCTTCCTTGTCTGGGCCTCACTGGTGGGGCCTGGCAGGGGACGAGGCCACGAGGCTCCTGCAGACCCTGCCAGAACTTTCCTCCAGAACACCTGACCCCATTGCGGCCTCACTCCTACCTGTCTTATCCCCGGCTGACAAAACTAGGCAAAGGAGGGGCTGGAGCAATAGCACAGCAGGTAGAGCATTTGCCTTGCACACCGCCGATGCACGTTCGATTCCCAGCATCCCATATGGTCCCCTGAGCACTGCCAGGGATAATTCCTGAGTGCAGAGCCAGGAGTAACCCCTGTGCATTGCCAGGTGTGACCCACCCCCCAAAAAAACTAGGCAGGGGAGCCCCTCCCTGTCCTCCTGCTCCCTGCTTCTGAGGGACACCCCATCCGTTTTTAGGTTACACCCAGCAATGCTCAGGGAGTTACTGCACTCAGGAATTATTCCTGACAGTGTTCGGGAGACCATATGGGATGCTGGGAATCGAACCCTGGTCGGCTGTATGCAAGGCAAACACCCTCCCCACTGTGCTATCGCTCCAGCGCCCTCCCCCCCTTCTTAAGAAGCAGGAAGCAGCTCTCACACCAGCTCTGTCAGGGGAGGGACGCAACAAGCTTCAGTCAATCCCTTCCCCCACCCAATCCCCAGTGCCCTCCCCAGCCCCCCATCTCCCCACAGTAGCCCCTGCTCCCGTCTTGCCCCCTTCCTGGTCCCCCCAGTCCCTGGCCCACCTTGAGAGGGTGCAGGTAGCGGAGGCCTCCCAGGAAAGGCGACCGGGCTTGGGCGGGCAGCTCGAGGCCGAGCGTGCGGGAGAGGTGGGCGATGTAGCAGGCAGCCAGCAGCAGCACATCCAGCCTGGAGAGCTTGGTGCGGGCCGGTACGGCGGGCAGCACAGCCTGCAGGGCCAGGAAGGTGCGACGCAGGGCCCGCACCCGGCTCCACTCCCGCACAGCGTTCTCGGGACTGGCCTGCGAGGAGCCCTGGGGAGTCAGCCCCCACCCCTGACTAAGAGCATCTTCCCACAGGAGACTCGCCTCTGCCCTGCCTGGGCTTATCGTGGGGGGCACAGTGCTCTCCCAACCCCTCCACTCGGCTTGTCCCCAGCCCCGGCGACCCAAGTTGGAACCCCGCTTCTAGGCCTCCCTGCGTCCATGTCACCACACACCAGTCTGCACACCACCCCTCAGGTCCTACTGGCCCGGCCTCCCGTGCTCCAGGCTAGGAGGTTCCTGAGTCTCCTTGTGCCTCAGTGTCCTGAGAGGGGCGAACTGGGTCACATCTGAGTCAGACTCTGGCTCTGCCCTGTCCACCCTTCTCCCCACCACCCAAAGTGGGGCCTCAGGGTGTCTCAAGTCACGCCGAGGCAGGACAGTCCATGCTGAGGGAGAAGTGACGTCTCAGCCCCTCCCCAATCCCACCCCCACCCCCGCCCTCTGCAGATCCCACATTTCCTTACCCTGCTGTCACCTGGGATCCTGGGTCTGGGGCCGCGGGGGCTTGGGGCAGCTCTGCGCCACCTGTGGGGGCCCCGCCTGGCCTGGCTCGGGCAGACCCTCGTCCTGTCGGAGCCTGCTGGTGGTTGAGGCTTGACCTGAGCCAGGCTGCGCCCCACTCTTGGCACGGGGGGTACCCCTCTGGCCTCCTCCTGAGCCATGCCCCGCCTGGGGGAGGATGTGCCGAAGGAGGCAGTGATCTGGGCGCTGCAGCTCCGTCTGCGGGAGCCGCCAACTGGGTCCCTCCTCGCTCTGGGAAAACTGCTCACCCGGCACGGCCTGCAAGATGATTGCTGCCCTCCCTCCCCACTGGCTGTGGGGTGCTGGGCACTGGGAGTGGCCAGCCCGGGGAGGAGGCCAGGGCCTGGCTAAATGGCAGGAGGACGAGTAGGACCAGGGAGCCTCCTTCCCGAAGCCTGGCGGGGCGCTGACTGGGACTCTGTCCTCAGAAGCTGGGGTTCCAGCCCAGGGCACAGCCCAGAGCCATCTCGCTGCCAGGAGCCTGTCTGCAAACAGCCACACAAACACGTCCCTACTTCCAAGCCCACTCTGGGGCCGGCCCTCTCCGGCACCCCAAATGCCTGCCAGGCCAAAGGCTGCTCATCTGAGGGGTCTGCCCTCAATGGTGAGGATTTCCTCAACCCCCTGAGTGCCCAGAACTCACACCTCCCTGTTTGATAGGGACCCCCAATCTCCTGCATCACCACCCACAACCACGACAAACTTCCCGGCAGTTCTCACGGTGCCAGGGAGGTGTGAAGCACTTTAGATGTGGCAGGGCCCAAGGAACCAGACGGGGTGTCGGCGATTGAAGCTAGGTCGGCCCCACTGTACTACCTCTCTAATATGCATGCATTTTATTTTTTATTTTATTTTTGTTTTTATTTTTTTTGCTTTTTGGGTCACACCTGGCGATGCACAGGGGTTACTCCTGGCTCTGCACTCAGGAGTTACTCCTGGTGGTGCTCAGGGGACCACATGGGATGCTGAGAATCGAACCCGGGTTGGCCGCGTGCAAGGCAAACGCCCTACCCGCTGTGCTATCTCTCCAGCCCCTATGCATGCATTTTAAATTCCTGGGTAACACTTTTCATATCATTAACTCTAGAATATCATTTCTGTAGAGGGTGTTGTGTATTTCTGTGTTACGTCCTCTGGTCTTTCCTGGTAAAGCCCCTTGAGTTCCTAAATTGTTGCAGAATTTTCCACAGGGCATGCCATGCCTCAGTTTGACTACCCAGAGCCCCTGGGACAGATGTGCAGATTGCTCCAAGTCCTAAGTCGCCCCCATGGGTGCTCACAGTGCTGTTGTGAGTGCCACTGTCCTTGTGCCCTTGTGGAGCTATCGAAGAATATCGAAGAATGTGGAAGGCCGACATCCAGGAGCCAAATGCCATGCTCGTTGACCACGTACTGCCCGTGCGACGTCCACAACAGCTGCAAAGCTGCTCGTGCAATTGTCCTGCCCGTGGCGTGAGCTCCCCACAGCCTCACCAGCTGATGTTAACCAGACTTTGAATTTTATAGTTGACCAGCTCTCAAAGACCAGCTTGTCCCTGTTTTCATCTTCCCTTATCTGATTTCTGAGAAACTGGAGCATCCTTTACAGACGGTGCCTGGTGGAGATTCAGCAGCGTTTTTTCTCCATAATAGGGAGCCAGTTTCAGTCTCTCCAGGTAGGGATCAACCTCATCTACTACTACACACACTGTCACTATTCTCCCCCCCACCCCACCCCTGTCACCTCTCCTCCTTCGTCACCTGTCAAGTTCCCTTATTTACACCTAGTTCCACTTTTTTTTTTTTTTTTTGCTTTTTGGGTCACACCCGGCAATGCACAAGGGTTACTCCTGGCTCTGCACTCAGAGCCCTGCCCTGGCAGTGCTCATGGGACCATATGGGATGCTGGGAATCGAACCTGGGTGGGCCGCGTGCAAGGCAAGCGCCCTACCTGCTGAGCTATTGCTCCAGCCCCACCTGGTTCCATTTCTGAGTTCTCTATCCTATTTTTCTTACTTGTTGTCTGTGTTTGAGACAGTATCACACTGCTTTTATTATGACTTGTCTTAATATGCAGCAGACAGGACTGGGGGGACAGTACAGGCTCTCGGATGCCCTCCTGGCACTGCTCCTAAGCCGCCTGGATGGTCCCACCCTGTTGAATAATACTCCGAGATTCTCCCTGACGCGAGAGGGCTTCGGAGACACCAGAGATGGCAGGACAGCACCGGAAGGGGCGCCCTTGCCCCGCAACCTGTAACGAAATCATCTCTCCTCCGAGAGTTCCACTCACCTCAGGCTTGACATTGGTTGTCCTTTGCCTCGCAGAGAGTTTATGATGAGTGACACCCACTACAGTGTCCCTGGGGTACACCCAATTCCACAGAACCACACCCAATTCTCTGAGTTTATGTTTAACTTTGCCTTTGTATTTTATTCCCCCCATCTGTTAATCCTCTTTTGGGGACGGGCCTAGGCACCCACTGCCTCAGCCTCTGGAAACAGGGACAGGTGTGGAGAAACTTGGCGTGAGGGTGAGCTGTCTCCTGACAGAAGACCTTGGCAGGCGGCCGAAGGGCCTCCATGCTCTGGCAGCCAGCCTCGAAAGGGGGTCGAAGGGCCACATGCTCTGGCAACCTGCCTCAAGAGAAAAGCTGAAGGGCCACCATGCTCTAGCAGCTGGACTTGAGAGGATACCGAAGGGAGGATTGGCTTGTATCTGCCTTGGCCAGGCCCGAGGCCACATCTCCATTCCTTGTTTCTCGGGGCTGAGATAAGGAACCGAAAAGCAAGAAGGAACCGAAAAATAGGTGATAGTGGCAAAAATAAAGTTGCTTGCACACCATGATTAATATTGTTAATGAAGCTTATGTAACCTGCTGATCATTGCTAAAATAAGACGATATAAACCAGCTTGGACGAAAATAAACTTGCTGTATGCCACATATTGGGTGCAGTCCCCTCTAGCCCTGGTTAGCTCCCGTTCCCTCGCTCCGACCAAGGTTCAAGTTGGCTGCGCGGGACGCGGCGATCCTCTTCCCTTCGAGGGGTAGTTTCTCTTTCCCTACGTTAGCCCTGTTTCTTTCAATAAAGACGGTGCCAGCTATCAGCCTGCCACCTGTTTTTCTGTCCATCATCCTGGGGAACGACTATTGGTCCTGAATACACAGGGGACATGGGTACCTGGCGAGCAGTGACACAGGCACTTGCTTGCATGCCAACTCTTTCTCTCCTCGACACAGCATTATCCCCTGAGCACAATGGGCACAGAGTAAGCTTTGAGCACTGCTGGGGGTAGCAACAAATCAAAACTTATGTATAGTAAATATGTCCCTTCCTTGTCCTTATTTTTCTTTTTCTTTACAAAGCTTTCGGGTTTAAGTCTCAGTCACACAATGATGAAACACCCAGCCCTTCACCAGTGCCCATTCTCCACCCCCCAAAACCCCAGTATACCCCCATCCCAGACCCTCCCCCTACCTGTGGGGCAGATGATTTCCACATTACTCTCTCTCTACTTTGATCGCATTCAATATTTTGACACCAGACCCACCATTACTATTTGGGATTTTACTCCAACACTCAGATCTGCCAAAAAGGCAACCATAGACAATTTGTGTTCTATTGCTGGTTATAAATAACATATGATGTCACACAGCTGCAGTAGTGGCCACGCAATTTTGGAATTCCGAAATTTTAACAATTAAATCTGGAGGGATTTCTGCCGAAACCTGCTGGGTTCTGAGACTTGTTCCTGAGTCTCTGGATCATGGCCGTTAAGCAGCTTGATCAGGAGCCAGAACGGGGTGGCAACCTAGGGTCTCGTTGGGGTGGGGAAGAAAGGGCCAGCTCCACCCCCATCCCATGAGGTCCCGTGTGTCTCGTCACTGCGGGCCTAAACCTGACTGTCCAATGGCCTCTGAGGGACGGCGGCCACCAAGCCGCCAGGGGGAACAGGCCAAGTCATGAAACCTATTCCCACCTAGGGTGGCCTAGCACCGGTAACTGCGGAGACCAGACGCATTTCTTCCAAAAGCCGCTGGGTTCTGAGATCTGTTTCTGAGTCTCTTGGATCATGGCCATTAAGCAGTTTGATTAGGAACCAGAGAGGTCTTGCCTCCAAATATATAGCTGAGTTGGAAGTGGTTTGTGGGTGTGTCTCCCACATACCTAACCTTTGGCCATTTACTTTCTTGGTAAACTTGGCTCCAAGTTGTTGGGGTCTGGCCAAAGGTATAGCAGAAATTTAGGAGTATCTAGAAGTCTGAAGGTACCATCAGGCTGCTGATACACTCGTCTCACAGGTACAGCCTTGCCCTTATTTTTCAAGCTTCACTGTTAACCAGAAATCATAGCATTGAGCATCATTTTCTTCTCCTAATCTTAAAGAGAACATGGCTATAATTTCTCCATTAAATATGATATTTATTATAGGTTTTTTATATAGAATCTTTATTATTGAATTAAAAAAAAGTATCCCTCATAGCTGGAGAGATAGTACTGCAGGTAGGGCTTGCATGTGGTTAACCCAGATTCAATCCCCAGCATTCCATTGGTCCACCAAGCCAGCCAGGAGTAATTCCTGAGTGCAGAGGACCACTGGGTGTGGCCCAAAAGCCAAAAAAAAAATAATTAATGTAAAAAAAATTCTCATTTATCTAAAAGTTATATAATATTTTTGTAACTATTTTAAGTGAAAGATAATAGTATTATGTTATTTTTGGAGTCACGCTTATAGTAATCTCAGCTAATTAGCTGATATTCTGTCATTTTTTAAATTTTCTGAAACATCTGGTAAAATGTGCTTGTAAATCCACTGGACCTAGGTTTTTTCTCTGGCAATGAGGGGAAGAGTTTCAACTTTTATCTCAATTTCTTTAGTTTTTTTTTTTGTTGTTGTTAGTTTGTTTAAACTTAAGTTCCTTATTTTTAAAAATAAATTTTGTGGGGTTTTTTTTGTGGCTTTTTTGGGTCACACCTGGCGATGCACAGGGGTTACTCCTGGCTCTACACTCAGGAATTACCCCTGGCGGTGCTCAGGGGACCATATGGGATGCTGGGAATCGAACCCAAGTTGGCCACGTGCAAGGCAAACGCCCTACCCGCTGTGCTATTGCTCCAGCCCCAAATTTTGGTATTTTTCTGTCAATATATCCATTTCATCTAGGAAGCCCAACAATTGGGGGTGGGGCGTAGTTTGGGGCTATATGCAAGGTGTCTCACACCCCATACAATTGCTCCTTCCCTAGGAATTCCAACATTGTAATGAATGAAATGCTCTTGGGAAATGTGTCCAAGGATAGGAAAAATAAAAAATAAAAAGGATATTAAAATCCTGGGTCTTGGGACCAATTCTAGATTTGATCTCTGTACCATATGCACCGCCAGGTACTGTCAGAACAACCCCTGAGCATAGAACCAGAAGTAGCTCCTGAGTACTGCTGGGTGTGGACCCCAAACCCAAAATGAAAATTTAAAAAAAAAAGGTGGGGGGAATGTGGAACCTAATCTGGAGAGATCTATCAAAGGGCTGAGCACATACTTTGCATGCAGGAGGCCCACAGTTCAACCCCTGGCTCCTAGGCATTACAGGAGTAAACCCCAAGCATGAAGCTGAGAGTAGACCCCCGGAAAACCAGAGTGATAGTACAATGGGTAGGGCATTTGCCTTGCACATGGCCAATCTGGGTTCGATCCCCAGCACCTCACCCAGAACCACCAGGAGTGATCTCTGTGTGCAGAGGCAGGAGTCAGCCCTGAGCACTGCTGGTGTGGCCCAAAAATAAAAACCAAAACTGTGAGCCATTTCTGGCATTCGAAGAGGACAGTGCAGAACCGGAAGACTGACCAGCAGTTGGCATATACAATTAAGAGGACTTCATCCACAAAATGAGCATCTGGAAGTACCTGAAACTCCTGTCATCACAGGGGCAAGATGAAGACTGACAGGAGACCCCTCCCAGCTCACGCATAGGACACCGAATGCCCACCCTGCCTCCTCCATGAACCTTGTTCATGGCTGTTGACACTCAAGGTTCTAAAGACTATGGGGGCAATCTTCAGGGGTTAGAGTGTCCATGTACAGCGCTGCCTCTCAGTGGAGCCAGAGGTCATCAGAACCCCATAAGGGGTGCCCATCAGGAGTTTGGGAGAATGACTTCTGGGGTGAGCAGTGTTGGACCAAACCCAGTGGTGCTCAGGGGACCCTATGTTCAGGGATGCTGGTTACTGATTTTGGGTCTGTCACATGCAAGACACTCTCTACACTCTCTCTCTCCAGTCCTTTCTTTGTTTTGTGTGCCTGTGTGCTTGGCCTGTGTAGTGCCAGGGACCAAATTGTGTCGGCCGCATGCAAGGCAAGAGTGTTCACTCCTGTCTTTAAACAAAGAAGGTGATGATCCTTTAGATGGTTCCAGTGTCTTGGAGGGGGGGGGTGCTGGGGCAGTATCTGTCCCCCCCCCCCCCCCCCGCCAGGAAACACTGGGTAGAACCTGATCATTGCTGAGAAAACAGGCAAACAGGAGGCAGAAGCCTGGGCAGGCAGGTGGGCTCTGCCATGGGGCCGACTTGGCTGGGAGCACCAAGGCTGCTCAGAGGGGAGGCCAGGCGTGGGGGGTGGGCAGAGGGAATGGGGGCATCTTGGGAGAAATTGAGTGCCCTGAAGTCTCCCCTGTTTCCTCTGGGGACCTCTAAGAGAAAGTCCCGGAGCCTTGAGAAGGCAAGTCTGTGATGTCACCGAGGAGCCTTTGTGACATACACCGGATTCCAGGGGAAACGGCCCCGAGGAAATGGGGCTTCCAGCTCCCAAGGGGGGTGGCCAAGCCACCCCATAGTCAGAGAACCAGTCTCCAGAGGCCTCACCAGCTGCTACTAAGGGATAAGCCATCTCGGTGGGACTCTGGCCGCGCCCCGAGCACAGCAGTGCCGGGGGCCAGCCTGGTCGGCTCGAGCAGAGGGGCCGGAGCCCAGGATGCTGGCCGGAGCTGGGGTCAGGGATCAGGAGAACAGAGGCCTGTAACAGAAGCCCCTCAGCCGGCTGCAGCCCCGCAGGCAGGATTGGGACTGAGACCTGGGTCCAAGAGCATGTAGGAGCACAGGCCCATGGGGCCAGGCAGGACCCGTCCCATGTAATGCCTTCCTTCCTTTCTCTCCAGCTCTCTTCGGCGCTGCACTGCCAAGGCAACGCGAGCTGGAAGAGGCTCACAGGTAAGAACTCACCAGCCACAGAGCACTCACTGTTCCTTGTCTCAGTCTTGGCAACCAGCACCCTTTCCCCCCCCCCACACACACACCTGTCCAACTCTATCTCTTTCCTCCTTTACTCGCCTCTCACCTGCCCAGCTCTGCCGATCCCAGACACATTTGGGGCTCTGGCGGGCCAGCAGGGATCTGGGCTCATGAGGCAGCCGCCCTGGACCTCCTGCGCCTCTTCCTTTCCAGGACCTGCACGGTTGCCTCTGCGCCCCCAAAGGCAGCTCTGGTTCCCCAGTGCCCCCACCTCTCATCCATGGCTGACGGCAACGTGATAGGCTGAGTGCGGTGCCAGGCTCCTGCCTGAATAGTCTGGTGGGACGGGCTCCCTGACTCGCACCCACACCTGGCCAGAGCCATCCTGCACGCAGAGGACTGGCTTCCGGGGCCCCCCGCCCGCCTCAGAACCCAGTCTGATCGGCCGCCTGTTCTCTCATCTCTGCTCTTCCCACACCAGCCCCTTGTGGATTCAAGGAAATGTGGCCTCAAAACAAGGAGAAGGTCCTGCTACAGAACACAGCGCCCCCTGGGTGCCCCCCACAGGGTCCTTCACAATTTGTGCACCCCCTGGCCCCCAAACTCCAGCCTCTATTTCCCCAGCAATCACACCCTTCCTCCCACCCACCACACACCTCTTCCCTAAGGTCAAATTCTTGGGGCTCCTGGCTGTGTGCCTCGGAGTCCAGCTCTGACTCTGTCCTCCACCCCTCTCCATCTCCCTCTGTCCCAGACTCCCCCAATTTCCTCCACCAGGACTCCCCCTCTTGCTCCTTCCAGCAGTCCCACTCCACTCCTCCGCTGACACGCTCCTCCGCTCCGTCCCAGACACCCAACGATCCGCCACACTCCCAGTCTCCTGCCCACGGGGAAGGCCCACCCAGCTCCACCTACACTTTCTGGAGTGCCAGGGCCCCCTCCAAGCAGCAGGCATGGCACTGGCATCAGTCCAGGGGCACCACATCCCCTGGGGAGGCGGAGGGATGTGTGGCAAGCGGGAAGGACCCCGCAGAGTTCAAGGACCCTGGAGCCCTGGCGCAGGCCCTGGTGGTCCATCTGGGGCCTCGGCGCATCGCTCAAGACCTGCGGCTGCTGCTGCTCCAGCGTCTGTGGCTCGGCAACACCGACCAGGCCCCGGTCGTGGAGTACCCGGTGTGCCTGGTGTGTCTCCAGCTCCGCAGTCCCTCCTGCCCCGCCCCCAGGTACAAGACCGGCCCCCACCTGCTTGCCTTTCCCCAACTACTGCCCTGCGCCAAGGACCAGGAGTCTGGACCACTCCGCCTCGGCATCGGCTTTGGCCTCCGCCTGCCTCGGGGCGAGGCCAAGGCCTTGCATCTGTTTCCAAAAAAAAGACCCGAGAAACCAGAGCCTCAGCCGGCGGCCGCACCGGCCCATCAAACATCTCCTCCAGCCCCCAGAGCTCCAACCCCAAGGTCTTGGGCCTGGGAAAGTTCAGTCCCAGGCACATTCTCGCAGACAGGGAGCCTCAAGTCTGCAGGCCCTCCCTCACCAAACTCCACCCAATGTCCAGGCTCTCCACCCCAGGCACCAAAGCTGCACAAGGCCTCCCAGAAGCCCAGGCCTCACCCTGCCCCAAAGACGCCGGCCTCTCCAGAACCCTTTCCCCGAAGGTCGCCCCCCTGGGTCCAGAGCCCCGGAGGGTCCCCGGAGCACCTCCCGCAAACCCCACCATCCCCGCCAGGCCCCAGACCTCAGGGAGTCCCAGAGACACTCTGAAGGGTTGGCTAGCTGGCGGTCAAGTGCGTTCTCCAGCCCTCAACCCTGGGAGCCCCTTGTGGAGTCTGCTCTCCCCCGGCTGAAGGGGACCAAGTTGCACCGGACATTCCTTTTGGCCTTCAGCCTATCCAGTAAAGCCTGACCTTACAAAATCGCAGCCCTGTGTCCTGCTTGGGGGTGGAGGCCAGGGGATGAGGGCGGCTTCCTCTTGGGGAGGTGGGAACGGTGGGTCTCCAACAAGGGGATGGAGTCTAACCCAGAGTGGGCAGGTATCTGAGGAGGGCAGGCGGCTCCCCAACTTCACCCCCCTGAGATGTGCCGAGGGCACCCTTGGTCTCTCATGCATTGAGTCCCATTAGGTGGGCCAAATCCCACCAGCGGGCCCCTCTCCTGCACCCTGGACTACCGAGGAGGTATGGAGAGGCTGGGAGGGGTGTGTGGCAGGAAGGGTGTTCACTGTGGAGAGATGGTATGGCGTGGACATCTGGACATCTTCACTGCGGAGAGCAAAACCCAAAGATCGCCTCGGAGGGTTGGGGGAGGCGTGTCCTTGAGGGTGCCTTAAGGAGGCAGCCCCCCAAAACGTGGGGTGCAGGCGCGAAGCCCCAAGAACGGTCAACCCCCACCTCTGCCAACCCCGGGCAGGTGTCTGGTTGCAACAGACAGTGGTTCCCTCAGCCCAGGAGGCTCGAGGGCGGTTTTTCCTTCCAGCCCGACTGACTCCAGCAAGGAACAAGGGCTGCAGGTTGCACTTCCGGTGTGCCACCTGGGCCCGACCACGCCCTCTCCGGGGTCAAACGCCGCGGCGGCGCTTCTTGGCCTGCGCCCCTCGACTGAAACGTGGCCACTGCGACGTCTTCGCAAGAGGCCGCCTTTCCCTCCCCGCGCGGCCGCCGCAGTCGTCGTCACCCGCGACTTCCCGCGGAAGAACACCGCGGCGCGCCGTCGCCCCGCACCAAGATGGCGGCGCCCGTCGTCCCGCGAAGGGGGGGGAGCGGCGGCGCGCGCCTGTGACGTCACGGGCCCGGCCCCCCGCGAGGAGCCGAGTGCTGACGCGCGGCGGACCGCTCTGCGCCTGCGCGAGCGGCGCGGGCCCGGCGCGCGTGCGCACGGCGGGGCGGCGCGACCTGCCTGCACGGCGGCGCCCGGCGCGGAGCGGACCGGCGGCGACTCCTGCGGGCGGCTGGCGAGCAGCCCGCGAGCGTGAGCGCGGAGCCGGGAGCCTTCCCGGCGGCGGCGGCGGCGGCGGCAGCATGCCCCGGCGCGCGCGGCGGTGCGGGCTGTGAGGGGCGCGGCGGGCGGGCGCGATGGGCCGGCGGCGGGTGCCCGAGCTCTACCGGGCCCCGTTCCCGTTGTACGCGCTGCAGGTGGAGCCCGGCGCGGGGCTGCTCATCGCTGCGGGCGGAGGCGGCGCCGCCAAGACCGGCATCAAGAACGGCGTGGTGAGAGCGAGCGCGGGCGCCGGGGCTCCCCCGGGCGGGCCGCCCCTCCCGCCCTGGCACTCGGGGCTCCCCGCCCCCGGCCGGGCGAGTTTCCGCCGAGAACTTCCGCAGCCCGCGCCGGAGACGCCCCCGAGGCCGAGGGGGAGCCGCGGGGCGCCCCCCGCCCCCGCCCGCGGCCGCCCCCCTAGCCCCGGCCGCAGAGGTGCGTTTGCCCGCGGGCTGCGTTTCTTCGGAGCGGCGCCCGGGGGTTCCGCCGACGGGCTGGGATCCCCGCCCCGCTGGGGTGTCCGTCCCCGCGGACCTGGGCGCCGCCCCCTCCCCAGCCGGAGAAAAGGGGGGCCCGACCGAGCCGCGTGCCGCACGCGAGGGTCCAGGGGTAGGACCTGGGGCTCGCGGCGGGGCGCGCCCGCTCGCACGCCCCGGACCCCTCCCCCCCACCGACCCCCGCTCGTCGCCGTTCCCTCCCCCGCAGCACTTTCTGCAGCTCGAGCGGATCAACGGGCGGCTGAGCGCCTCCCTGCTGCACTCCCATGACACGGAGACGCGGGCCACCATGAACTTGGCCCTGGCCGGGAACGTCCTGGCGGCGGGGCAGGACGCGCGCTGTCAGCTCCTGCGCTTCCAGACCCGGCAGCAGAAGGGCACAAGCAAGGCGGAGAAGGCTGGTGAGACCACCCCCCGGGTCGGGGGGACGGGAAGGCGGCTCCCCCAGAGGGCGTCGAGTGTGGGAAGTGCTTGTGGTTTCCTTCCCGGGCACCGCTGGTCGGTGTGACCCAATCTCCCCCCCCCCCCCCACTCAGAAGTAAAAATTGGACACGGACTGAGGCCGAGGGAGCAAGTGCAGATGCAGAGGGGGTTGGTTGTCAGGTGTGGAGAGGGCAGCACTGGGTGGCAGAAGCCTGGCACTGGCAGGCTGTCCTGTTACAGGGGCCAAGGAGCAGGGGGCCCGGCAGAGGAAGGGCGCCGCTGCCCCAGCGGACAAGGCCGGCTCAGAAACCCACGCCGAGGGGGTCGAGCTCAACATCCAGAGCCTACAGGCGGTGCAGACGGACTTCGGCCCCGAACCTCTGCAGAAAGTCGTTCGCTTCAACCATGACAATACCCTGCTCGTCACTGGAGGGACGGACGGCTGCGTCCGCGTGTGGAAGGTGTGGCTTGGGGAGGAGCAGGAGGAGCAGAGCGGAACTGGGAGAAACTGCACGTGGGATCTGGGGGAGTGGAGGGCTGGAGCGAGCCCCCAAGGCCGGGGATCCCTGCGCTCCGGCCAGGCCCCCTGCGCTGACCCTGGTGGTGATGTGACTGCCAGGTTCCCAGCCTGGAGAAAATGCTGGAGTTCAAAGCCCACGAAGGGGAGATTGAGGACCTGGCTTTGGCGCCCGACGGCAAGGTGAGGAGGGGACAGGGTGGAGAACGTGAGTGGCTGAGCTGCGCGTCCACTCGGCAGTCCTCCTAACCCTTCCTCCTCTGGAATCTTGATTCCCGACTAGCTCGTAACTGTGGGCTGGGACCATAAGGCCTGCGTGTGGCACAAGGACCAGCTGTTGACCCAGCTGCAGTGGCAAGAGAACGGACCCACCTTTTCTAGCACGCCTTACCGCTACCAGGCCTGCAGGTGTGACCCCGGCAGGTGGCCACTGGAGGCTCAGCCTAGATGCGGCTGGGTGGTGGGGTGGGCAAGGTGGGCAGAGGGGGCTGGGAGGAGGGCAGCCTTGGTGGCATTGCCCCCGGCCTGCCCTGGAGCTGACCAGCTCCTCACGCCCCTCCCCTTCCCCCCCCACCAGGTTTGGGCCAGTTCCGGACCAGCCGTCGGGGCTTCGACTCTTCACAGTGCAGATTCCCCACAAGCGCCTGCGCCAGCCCCCACCCTGCTACCTCACAGCCTGGGACGGCGCCTCCTTCTTGCCCCTCCGGACCAAGCCCTGTGGCCATGAAGTCATCTCCTGCCTTAGTGTCAGGTGTGAGAGGGCGCTGGCTGGGCCACTGGGGGCTGGGGACTCCCTGGGAGCCGCCCTCAGTGAGTGGGGAGGGGGTCACCATGGAGGCTGCCGGGAGAGTGAGCTCTTTCCAATTCATTGCAGTGACTCGGGCACCTTCCTCGGCCTGGGCATGGTCACGGGCTCAGTCGCCATCTACATAGCATTCTCTCTGCAGGTAACGGTGCAGGGCTCCCGGCCCCGAGGGCCCTTTGGGTGGGGGCTCTTGGCCTGCCTGTGAGCGGAGCGTGTCAACACAGCAGAACGCTTCCTGGGGGCAGGTGCGGGATTTCCAGAAGGGACAGTCGCCAGGTACCCTGAGACTGCCCCCCCCCACCCGCCCTCCCTCCCCAGCGCCTCTACTACGTGAGGGAGACCCACGGCATTGTGGTGACTGACGTGGCCTTTCTGCCTGAGAAGGGCCGTGGCCCCGAGCTCCTTGGATCCCATGAAACCGCCCTGTTCTCCGTGGCCGTGGACAGTCGCTGCCAGCTGCACCTGCTGCCCTCCCGGCGTGAGTCCTGGGGTGTGCTGGGGTGCTCCCCACCCCCTCCCCCGCGGGCTCTGTTCCTAGGCCCACGCGGCGTCCCTCCCCTCCCCAGGGAGCGTTCCCGTGTGGCTTCTGCTGCTGCTCTGTGCCGGCCTCATCGTGGTGACCATCCTGCTGCTCCAGAGCGCCTTGCCCGGCTTCCTGTAGCCTCCCTGTCCCTTCCAGACCAGAGTGGAGCCCGGGGCTGGCACCAGGTTCATGGCCCCTGGCTCCACAGCTGCGGTGGTCTCTGCTGAGACCAAGAGGTACCGCCTGCCCTGCCTACTTCATTTGGTGGCATCAGGTGCAGCGGCACTGGCAGTCACCTGTGGATCGACCTAGGCCAGCCGGTGTCTGGACAGCCACCGCCAGCCCGCCGCCTCTCCTCCAGCCTGTCAGAGGCTCCGGGGTTGAGTTGTCCTTTGTCCAGAAATATGTGAAGTTGCCCAGGAGCCAGCAGGCACTGCTGGCTCCTCTCCCACAGCCAGGGTCAGCACTGTCCCCGCCCTGCTCGGAGGGAAGGAAGGGGCCAGTGAAAGACCCGGGGGAGGGGGGTGTTGTGGATTGAACGGGGTCTCTCCAGGCCAGCCAGGTTAACTGCGCTGTGGGGTCTCGGACAGTTGACCCCAACCCCCAGGAAAGGGGAAATGAACTTCAGTCCACCGGGGAGGGAAAGCTGATATTTAATAAACTAGAAAAAACTGGACCGAGAGCCCATTTCCAAGGCTAGCTCTTGTCCTCGCCGGAAGGGCGGGGCCCTGCAGCCGAGCAGCTCTTTGGGCATTATAGGATGGTTTGGCCGACTGACGGGAGAGGCGGGCCAGGTAGCAGGGCCGCCAGGGCAGTAGCCGGTCCAGGAAGCCCAAGTGGCCACCCTGGACCGTGATGAGCAGGGCCACAAAGGAAGAGGACTGCATGGGGGGGGGGGGCGGGGAAGCCCTGTCGGGCTCCCTGCCTCTACTGAGGGATGATGCAGCCCGCAGGGAAGGAAGGCAAAGCTGGCTGGAATGCGGTGCGAGGAGGAAGAATTAGAGGGCCAGTTTGGGCAAAGGGGAGGACAGTGGAAGACCACCCGCGGCACAGGGTCTATATTCAGCACCTTTTCTGTCACTGTCTTTCCTGTTCCTGCAAAGGACCATGTAGAGGCCATTGGTGGGGTGAAGCGCAGGTCTAACATGCAGGAGTTGGGTTCATTCCCTGACGCCACAGAGCCAGCAGAACCACTGCCCAAAGAGCCGTCTCTGTTCCTGTGACCGCTGACACGCACCCCCCGCCCCCCCCAAACGCAGGATAGCCTGGCCTGGTCGCCACCTGCCCTTCTGCTGCCCTCCTGCTCACTCCCATCCTGCCGGGAGTGATCCCACAGCATGCGAGTGATGGGCTATTAGAGGGGGCGGGGGGGGGGGGCTCCAGCACGAGCACTGTCGGTGCGGCCACCAGCTTGGTTCTGTCCTTGTTGTGCCAGCAGGTTCAGCACCAGCATCCTGCAGGATTGAAGGGTGGGGAGCAGGAAAGAAGGGCCCGAGGGAATGAGCTGAGGTGGGTGCAGGGGCACAGGGAGGAGGGCAGAGGAAAGAGCCGGCCTGTGGGGCCCTCCAAGGGCGACGCCTATGCCCACTGCGGGGCTTGGGAGTAGCGGTGCTCTAGGTGGCCCACAACAGTCTCCAGGTCATCAGTGTTGCTGGCACAAAGGGCCCTGTGGGTCTGAGGCAAACGGTCACTGTAGGAAGGGCAAGAGGCAGCTGGCAGGGTGGGGGCGCCCCTGGACCAAGGAGCTCTTCGGGGAGTTGGTGGAGGAAGGGGACTCACCAGTTCTTCCCCACAGCAGCCTCGGTTATTAAACACCACAGTCTGGCACACAGACAACGAACAGCATGACGGCCAGACCGTCCCGAGAAGGCTCGCTCCCTTCATGGAAACCCCCCCTCCCCGCCTCTTTAGGGGGCCAAGTTGCCACCGACTCCTGAGCTCTGCCACAGCTCCCTGTAGCCATTCCTTAGCCTGCTGGGTGCAGGGCAGGATGTAGGAGTCCTGGCTGCTGAGTGACACCAGGCAGCAGTAGGACAATGGGCTTCATCGTGGCGTCGGGGCCCTGGCCACTCCTGTACGTCAGCCCAATCTCGCAGGAGCTGACTCCCACCTGGGGTATGGAGGACTTCACTGAAAAACGCAGAGGTGGGAAACTCAGAGGAACGCCCTCACGGATTCTCAGGGTTTCTGCCCTGACCCCTCCACGCCAGCATTCTTCACGGGGAAACATGAAGACGGAACCAAAATGGAACGGGAAGGAACAAGCTTGACTGTTCCCTCAAGGCCATGCAATTGTGCAACCGTCCACACGGCACTCGGTTCCCTAAGGCTGCGTGGGCTGAGCAGAGGTGCCCTTTGCTTGAGTGGGCAGGCTTTCCTCGCCCCCTCTGCTCCTTCTCACGTCCTGAAAGGGATTTGAGGCTGAGATTGCAGTAAGGACCAGAAGATGGTCTGTAGCCGCCAATCTAAGCACCAAGGGCGTAGGGGTGAATGTCTCCACTGTGATCGGGCAGGATTGTGTCAGGGAAGACTTAAACCGGGGCCCACTCACCAACTGAGGTTTCTGTAATCACACAGCAGTCTGCCTCATCCCTCATATTTGCCCCATGCCAGTGAGCACCCGTACCTTCATCCGGATGAGAAATCCAGTGTGTTGTGTCACCACTGCTAATGCTGTTCCGCTCCATCCCAGGGATTCCGCACTGGAGTGCTCTGCTCTGCAGGTCACGTCTCAAGTGTACACTTTGCTACCACACAGCTGCTGCCGTTTTTCATGGGGCCCCTGATGGAGGGATAGGCCCGTGTGAACAGGGCCAAGGTCAAGGGGTGATAGTTGAGGACAGTGGGCACTCAGCCCTGGTTTCAAACTCCTCGGTCTTCTGGATAGACAGAGAATGAGCCTAGTCACACAGGCTTAAATGCCGCACTAGGTGACAAGTCCTTAGGCTGAAGAAAGATCGCATTTGTCACTGACCCCAAGAAAACAACCAGGTATCTCTACACTCAGTACTCAAAAGGAACTGAACAGACAGAGACCAGGTGGGGAGGGTGACTTGTGAGCTCTGACTCATCCCCTGGTCCTTCTGACCTGGAGCAGTAACACCCGTGAGTCACTGTGTGCTACAAGAGGCGCTGTGCCAAGGCTAGCTCTGAGCTAGCAGCTGAGGTGGAGACGGGAGTTCCCTGATTTGCCTCAAGTTACAGCAAGCAAGAGGCCAAGTGGAATTGATCGTTTCAATTAGCGCTACCTGCTAACACTAAGAGGTGAAAGGTATGCACTTAACCTGGTTTCTCCAATTGGCACAATAGCTCTTCAAGGTAAGTACTTTGGGGATCCGGTTTGAATGTTGAGTAACTGGGCAAAGGTCACGAACTTGCTAGTTAGGAATCGACCCAGGATTCAAACCCTTCTCTCTGACTTTGAAGTTTGTGCTCTTGGTTATTGTACTCATCACCTCTTTGTTGCCAAGATTTTGAGTGAACAGTTGAAGTCCTGGGTCAGGTAGTTCAATAACAATGAACTCTGCACTGTAGCACTGTCTTCCGTTGTTCATTGATTTGCTCGAGTGGGCCCAGTAATGTCTCCATTGTGAGACTTGTTACTGGGATTATTGCTAATTGAAACATTGAACGAGGGGTTAATATATTAGGCCACAAGTTTTGGTTAGTTTCATTCTAACTTTTTTTCTTTTTGGGTCACATCAGGCATTGCACAGGGGTTACTCCTGGCTCTGCGTTCAGGTATTACCCCTGGCGGTGCTCAGGGGACCATAATGGGATGCTGGGAATCGAACCCAGGTCGGTCGTGTGCAAGGCAAACGGCCTCCCGCTGTGCTATTGCTCCAGCCCCTCATTCTAACTCTTAAATGTTTTCTTGACTCATTCCTGAGAATGAGTTACTAATATGCCTTTGGTTAGGGATGAATTAGTACCAGTTCACTCTCATGCTTGGCAAGCCAAATCCATGTCCACAGTCCAGGATGATACTTGGACTGCTTCTGAACCAGTATGGGGAGAGTTGCCAGGGGGTTAAAATATATAAAGTTCAAGGTTTCTGACCTCTGTAGCTGGTTCACCAAGAGATGTTTCATTAAGAACAGTTCTGGGCCTTGAGCAATAATACAGCAGGGAGGACACTTGCCTTGCATGCAGCTGACCTGGGTTCAATCCCTCACGCCACTTATGGTCCCCCACGTCTGCCAAGTGATCCCTGAGCACAGGCAGGTGTGGCCCGCAAGCCAAAAGTGTACGATACTGTTGGGGACAGAGATAATACAGTAGGTAGGTTACTGCTTGCATGCAACTGATGCACGTTGAATCCCTGGCACAACATATGACCCCCCAAGACCCTCTGAGAGTGATCCCTGAACACAGTAAGACCTGCCGGGTGTGACCCTCCCCCCCCCAAACCAAAAAATACAGCTGCTTTGGAGTAACCGTACAAATCAGAGGTAAATGGTAAGGTTTATAGGGTATTGTGAAGTTTTGCTAAGGCAGACGATACATGATAATGTAGAAAGCTCCCATATGTAGCAGTACTCAGGAGTTGAAGGACCATATAGTGCAGGAAACCAAACCAGTCAGCTGCATGCAAGGCACATGCCTTAACACACTACCTCTCTGGCCCTGTAGATTTTGGGGGGTAGTTGAGGGGGATGGGTCATACCCAGTGATGCTCAAGGCTCTGCATCAGGAATCTCCTGGTGGTTCTTCTGGGGCCATATCGGATGCTGGGCAGTGAACCCGGTCAGCACCATGCAAGGTATACATCCTACCTGTATTATTAGTACCCCAGCCCCAGGCCTCATCATTTTAAATGAATAATAGGTTTCTACATATGCGAGATTTGAATGACGGGGATTAGGTTTTCTAGATCAGTCATGTTTATCTAAATTTCAGTGAGAACCTTCATGTTCAGCCCTTCCCACTGCACTGGTCCATGGAGGCGGTAGAGCTAACTGAGCGTCCTGAGGCTCGGGGTGGTGGGGAGTGGGGAGTTGGCATGCGTTTCCTTGCGTGAGTGAGACCGAGTTAGACTGCTCAGAAAGAGGGGCATGTGGTAAGTGCATCTCCTGGCCCCTCGGGATTTCTTCCACCTCACCTTTCCTGGAATGTCTGTACATCAGGGTGGCAGCCGCTATTATGGGCAGTAGTGCACAGGCAAAGAACCCACTTTCCGCTGGGTGATGACAGCCAAGCGCGGGAGGGGGGGGGAAGGGGGAGGAGTCTGGGGTGTCTGGGGCGGGGGCTCACATTTCACCTGGGGTGAGAGGTTCAGACTGCCCCGCACAAAGGAAGCCCCAGACTGCGACCACTCCCCTGAGGCCTGGGTATCCCCAACCGGCCAGGCCTCTGGACACGCACCCAGCTGGGGCACACGTGTCCAAGTAGAGGACAACGCCAAGCGCCAAAACCAGAAACAGTTTTAGCCAGATTCCCATTCTGGGGGCCTAGGGAAGGGAGTCGGTAATTCGGGTCGCTGGGTTCCGATCCTGCACCGAGCAACCCGCGGCCCCAGGTGCGGGCCCCGCCCACTACGCGCCATTGGACGGTCTGTGCAGGTCCCGCCCCCACTCCCCAGCGGTTCGCCCGCGGCCTTCACAGACCGCCCAATGACGTGTGCTGGGAGGGGCGGGGCCGGGGCTGAGCCCCGCCCCCAGCCGTGCTCGCACGTGCCGGCGAGTAGCCGCTGGCCCCGGATCCTCGCCCTGCTCTGGCGGGGCTCCCCCGCTGCTTCCACCTCCCCAGGGTCGCCAGGAGCGCTCGGAATGTTGTTCTGTCGCCCAGGGGGCCTTCACTCGTGCCCACGTCCCTCCCCGCCACCGCGCTCACCCCTTCTCCGCGGTGCTCAAGTCCTGGACACCAGGGACACCAGGGCTGTCACGTGCTCAGGTGTCAGTGTGGGCGCCGCAGTCCCACCGACCGCCCGGGTGCCACCGCCTAAGCCCCTGTCCTTCATTCCCGTCACCGCCCTGCCCGCCTCACAGCCCCGCAGGAAGCCCTCCGTTACCGATTAAAGGCCACTGCCGAAGAGACTGGTTGATGGTGAACAGTCTACGGGGGCTAGCTCCTGAGAAGTTGGGGGCCCGCATCTTGTCTCCACCAGTGGCAAGAAGGAGGGTTTAGAAAGAGAAGGGGAAGGTGGGATACAGCCTGGGGTGGGGAGGGCGGTGATCCATACATCCACTGGCGCCCATGCCTTTCCGGCGCGCTCCCAGTGGCGCTGCTGATCAGGTGTGTCATTCAGGCTGCCGCGCTCTGGCCTAGCCTTCAGCTTGAAAAGGCAAGTGGGGCTTCTTCCTGCACACGCTCAACCACCTTGTCTCTCTCTTTCTCCCTCCCTCCCTTTTCTTCTTTCTTTCCTTCTCTCTTTTTTTTGGGGGTTGGGGGGAAGGAGATGGCTGCACCACACTCAGCAGTTGCACTCAAGAATCACTCCTTCCCAAAAAGCAAAAAAAAGAAAAAAAAAAACGGGGCTGGAGCGATAGCACAGCGGGTAGGAATTACTCCTGGAAGCACTCAGGGGACCATATGGGATGCTGGGGATCGGACCCGGGTTGGCCATGTGCAAGGCAAACGCCCTATCCACTGTACTGTCACTCCAGTCCCCCCCTCCATTGTTTTTTTTGGGTTTTTTTTGTTTCGTTTTTTCTTTTTGGGTCACACCCGGTGATGCACAGGGGTTACTCCTGGCTCTGCACTCAGGAGTTACTCCACTCCTGGTGGTGCTCAGGGAACCATATGGGATGCTGGGAATCGAACCCAGGTCGGCAAGGCAAACACCCTACCCGCTGTGCTATCACTCCAGTTCCCCCCCACAAATGTTTTTAAAGGACATTAGGGTTCATCCTACGGGTGTAGGAAGGTTATCAGAGAACATTCAATGTGGTGGGCAACTTGACCATCGTTCTATTTCAGAGACTAGCCAGGTATTTGGAGGAGAAGTATGGAAGCAGAGGTGTCGATTTGGAGGCCTGGAACAGAACTTGGGCCTGAATGATGCTGTCTGAGCAAGGGAAGCTGGGGAGAGGAGTGGGCATCTTCAAGCATGGGGTGGGGGGGTGGTGATATGACTTGGCAGTGGGGAAGGAAGGGGTGGCCAACCCCCGAGTTTCTGCATAGATTCTGAGATGCCTGGTATAATGGTCCTCGAGACACCGAAGGCTTGAGGAAGAAGACGACGCATTCAGACTCCTTCAGGGAAGTTGGGGTAAATGTTCTAACAGGCTTGCTTAGATTGTGTATTTGGCACTTGGCATCCACTAATCACAATGCCAAAGCAACGCCCAAAGTTGTTTCTGACTCCCCCATGGTGCGGAGCCTTTGTTGTCCACTTTCTCAAACGCTCACGCACCAAACCAGCATCCCTGTCCTGAAACAACCCAAGGTCAGCTATTCGTCCACTAGGCATAGCTCCCAGCCCTCAAGAAAACTCACCTAAATTATTCAAAGCGGCTATTTCTTGGGGCCGGAGAGATAGTGCAGTGGGTAGGGTGTTTGCCTTGCCTCTATCTTACTCAGGCTCCAGACCCAGCACCCCACATGGTCCCCTGAGTTCTGTCAGAAGTGGTCCCTGAGGACAGAGCAGGAGTAAGTCCTGAGTACTGCTGGGTATGCCCCACCTCAAAACAA